GGTTGACAAAGATCAAAAAGGCTGATAGACATTTTAGCAAGACATGAAAAAAAGATGCTCCCTGAATTACTGGTAGGATTACAAAATAGCACAACCTCTCTGGATGCCCTCTTGATGATCACTATCAATGTTTAAAATGTACATCCTTGGACTCAGCAATTCTGCCTTTAAGAGTTTATCCTAAATGTGTACAAAAATGTATGTTCAAGAGCATTCACTGCAGCATCATAGCTCCAATGTGGTCAGAAACAACTGTAAACTATTAATAGAAAAGACGGTTGAATACATCAAAGCACATTCATACAATAAGACACTCTGCAGCCAGTTTTAAAACTGGGCTAGGTCTGTATGTGTTAGCATGGAACAACTATCAAGACATATCATGGAATTTATAAAGGAAGTTGCTTAATAAGTAATGTGCGTAGTATACCACTACCTGTGTAAAGAAAAAGGGAGAGACACATAGGTCTATGTATGCACAGACTACGTTTGGAAAATACAGAAGAAACTAGAAATGGTGGCTATCGAGAGAGAAGACAGTAGACTGGTAGTGGAGGGGGGTGGTGAATGGGGTTTTTTGTTTTTACCTTACATACTACATTATTCTGATTTTTTAAAAATTATATGTGTATAGGGCTTTTCCAACAAAGTACCTTAAAAGTTTAAATGTAAACTTTCAAATATATACACACAGAAACATGCACAAACATATGGAAATAGCTTTTAAAAACAATTTGTGTTGAAATATGTGCACACTATCGAGGAAAATTCAGGCATTTCTAAAAAAGTATATGGAGGAAAATGAAAAATGATTCATATTCCCACTATTCATAATAGCTTTGCTAACAATCTTGCATTGCCATTTGTCAAGGCTTTGCTCATATGTGTGTGCACAAACACATAGGTGCCTACATATGTGCGTATGCGCACATTTCTGTATATGTGCATCGACTCCCATCTTGGTGTGCAGGCCCACGGACCACATCTGAAGTGAGAATCACTAAACATAAAGTGCTTTGGTTGCTTCCCAACTAGTCTTACCAGAAGACATCCAAGGCAGATTTTCTAATGCCAAGTTCTAGGAAAAAGCAGCACCTTATCAAAGGCCCCAGGATAGTTATTGCCAAGTACAACTATCAGGAGACACCAAAAATTATGAAGGTGTTCACCAGAATGTGAGCTCCCAAGGGCACACATATCTTTTGTCCTATTATTCATTTTATTATTCGTTTCAGTATCCCTCCTGCTTAGAAAATACCTGGCACAGCTGACACTCAGCATTTCTTACATGAATAGGCTCACCTTAAATATCTTCTACTCTACAGTTCCC